GTCAGTGGCTAGTGGTGTGCCTCAGGGATCAGTGTTGGGACCTCAATTGTTTACTATTTACATAGATGACTTGGAGTTGGGGACTAAATGTGGTGTGTCAAAATTTGCGGATGACACTAAGATGAGTGGTAGAGCAAAGTGTGAAGAAGACACTGAAAGTCTGCAGAGGGATATAGATAGTCTAAGTGAGTGGGCAAAGGTCTGGCAGATGGAATACAATGTTGATAAGTGTGAGGTCATCCATTTTGGTAGGAATAACAGGAAAATGGACTATGTTTTAAATGGTAAAAAATTGCAGCACACTGCTGTGCAGAGGGACTTGGGTGTCCTTGTGCATGAATCACTAAAAGTAGGATTGCGGGTACAGCAGGTGATTAAAAAGGCAAATGGAATTTTGTCTGCCATTGCTCAAGAGATGGAGTTTAAAAACAGGGAGGCTATGCTGCAGCTGTATAGGGTCCTGGTGAGGCCACACCTGGAGTACTGTGTGCAGTTTTGGTCTCCTTACTTGAGACGAGATATACTAGCACTGGAGGGGGTGCAGAGGAGATTCACTTGGCTGATTCCAGATCTGAGAGGGTTGGATTATGAGGAGAGACTGAGTAGACTGGGATTATACTCATTGGAATTCAGAAGAATGAGGGGAGATCTTATAGAAACATATAAGATTATGAAGGGAATAGATAAGGTGGAGGCAGGGAGGTTGTTTCCGCTAGCAGGCTAAACTAGGACTAGAGGGCATCGCCTCAAAATAAAGGGAAGCAGATGTAGGACTGAGGTCAGGAGGAACCTCTTCACCCAAAGGGTTGTGAATCTGTGGAATTCCCTGCCCAGTGAAGTCGTTGAAGCTACCCTCGCTGAATGTTTTTAAGGCAAGGCTAGATAAATTTTTGAACACTAAAGGAATTCAGGGTTATGGTGAGTGGGTGGGTAAGTGGAACTGTGTCTCAAAAAGATCAGCCATGATCTTATTAAATGGCGGGGCAGGCTCGAGGGGCCAGATGGCCTTCTCCTGCTCCTAGCTCTTATGTTCATATGTAAATCATCCCCCCCCCCTACAAATATACATACTAATAAACATTACCAGTCCAAGCACACTGCTCCGAGACTAAACAAAACCTGCGTAGTCATCCATCCTGGGTGCTTCAGCTTGCCTTCTGCTGTGCTAAGTAACGTCCACGATGCAAAAAGGACATCCTTTACTGCTGCGTCAGCTTCTGCTGGGGAGATTCTCAATAGCAGCTGACCAAGTAACCCCAGCGTCAAGTGATAGGTCTCAATTAGTTGCCCAGGGTTTTGCATTGCCACCCGAAACAGCAGCTTCAGTACTTGCCTCAAATTTGGTAGGCACATAGTTGAATCCTGTGGGATTGAGGATAACATCACAAGTCTGTACATTGATTTAGAATGCCGAGTGGTAATTATCAAAACAGCTACTGTGAACACAACTGTGCATTTCTAAATGTCAAAAGGACTGAACTGTTTGCAAAGGCTTGCAAAACTTGGTTTTTTCTTTTTAGCCTGGCAAGAAGGTGACTTTGTAGTGATCCCAAAGAGGCACACATTATGTTGAAAGAAATGAAAAAGGGGAATCTGGAAAACGAAATTAAGCTGCGACATTGTCACTGGGTCAAAAACCTGAAATTCATTCTCTAACAGCACAGCGGACATGTGTGCAACACATGGACTGCAGTGGTTTAAGGCAGCAGCTCACCATCACCTTCTCCAGACAGATGGGCAACATATGTACAGCTTTACCAGCTGCAAGCACATCTCATTAAATAATCTGAAGAAAACGGCATGGGGACAACTAGGCAGAATCAGCTGAAAGGCAAAATTGGGAATCATTTTTAGGAGGCTGTTCTTCAAAAGACTGAACTCTACACACAATGAACTTCCGAATGAAGTACAGGTGAACAGCTTGCCAGCATTTAAAGGAACAGTTCAATGTTGCAATGGGTCAAATGCTGGCTTCCTGAGTAGGTGAGACAAGAAGGGGCTGAATGGATCTTTCATTTGGTATGTTTTCAACTTCAAGTTCCGAAAATAAATCTCAAATAAATAACTTGAAATAAAACCTTAGGGAAACATCTGAACACCAAATCCATTGAATGTAAACTCTCACACAGCTTAATTATAGTAAGGAGCCAAAATAGAGACCCTTCTATCATACATTTGAAGCCTGTTTATTCAATTGTTAAACATAGGAAAATGCTTCTGTATAAAACAGCCAGCGGCTCTTACAGTTTTTACAGGAGGCAGCATTGCAGCCAGCAGTCCCAGAATTCTCTCCTGTGAGCATTCAGCAAAAACCTGGTCTTGGCTGTGCATGGGCTCTTTGGCAGCAGTGTGTCGCTTGAAAGAGGTTTTTAATCCACATGTGTGATCTGCATCCACAGCAGGCTCTGGCCCTGAAAATCATTAAAAAAGTTCCTAAAGCAACTTCTGGTTTCCGCAAAGTCAAGATGGCACTCATTCTGCACTCTCCTGTTCTCCCCAATTCTGCCCCCTGGGCCTAGTCCACTATTTCATCTGAGCGTAAGAACTTGATCTCGTCTTAACTTCTTGGTTCTATAGTCTTTAACACTAACACTAGGACAGCATGGTGGCTCACTGGTTAGCACTACTGTCTCAGTGTCAGGGACCCGGGGCCAATTCCAGCCTCAGAGTTGGCACATTCTCCCATATTTGCGTGAGTTTCCTCCAGGTACTCCAGTTTCCTCGCACAGTGCAAAAATGAGCAGGTGGATTGGCCATGCTGAATTGCCCATGGTGTCCAGGGATGTGCAGGGTTATGGGGATATGGTAGGGGTGGGTCTGGGTGGGATGTTCTTCAGAGGGTTGGTGTGGGCTTGATGGGCCAAATGGCCTGCTTCTACACTGTAGGGATTCTAGGGATACTATCGCAGAAGGCACGGTAATATTTGCAAAAATACACCCTGTGTTAAGATAACTTCTTGGGGAGGCTGTAAATGACCAAACTGGTGTTCAGTTACACGGGAGTCAATAAAAAGAGTTTATTCATTAGCCAATACATAAATGTTACTACTAATCTCACTTCGCAAGCTCTTTCTTCCTAAATTTCTGAGCAAACTGGATCTAACTCTTTATAATGCCTTAGTGAATAACTTTATGTTGAATTACCTGCTTTAACTACCTCCACCGCTGATGTAGACATTTGTTGTTCAGCTGCACTCGAGTCAGGGAGCTGCGTTGCTGATACAGTGGCCACTGACTCTGCTGCATCGGGAGGCGATAGCTTTGCGACCATGTCAGATGCAACGCTGGACACAAAAGAATGCTGTTCTTCCTCTGATGCAGTGGACATCACCGACAACAATGGACTGTGCTCAGACTGGGAGGCACTGAGTTGCTGTTCAGTCTTGGGTGTCTTAGTGGAAAGGTCAGAGGAAGACTGCTGTGTGGAAGAAGCATCAACAATGGAACTGCTATGTTTAACTGCATCTTCTGAGGCAGTATCTGTTGCCATGAAACTTAACTGACTGGGTGATAAAACTGCTGAGGAGTCAGTAGTGGATAAAGACATGCGATTTGATGAATTTGAGTCAGAGATCATATTGTCCTTACTGCTCTCAAAGTTCAAAGTAGTTGCTCCAGATCCAGATACCTGTAGCACCTGCACGCTCTCCCACTCAATGCTGTCAATACTTGCCAAAGTGGCATCACTTTCACTTGATTTTAACTGGAAAAAAACAAACAGGGATCTGTGACTTAAAAGCACACCACCTTCCATATATACAGAACCTTTAACACTGTTGCAAAAAACTCCATAGGACCATTCTGACAAGATCTGACACCAAGTCATGTAAAGAGATGTTAGGTCATGGGACCTAAAGTGGTCAAATAGTTAGGTTTGAGACAGGGAAGAGGCGAGGCAGAGGGGTTTAGGAAGAGAATCCCACGGCTTATACTGAGACAACTGAAGACATGCTGCCAACGGTGAGGCAAACAAAACTGGTGATGAACAAATCAAAATTGAGGTGGTGCAGAGTCAAACATTGTTCATTTGAGTGAAACATGGAGGAAGTGCACTGTAAGGAGAACAGCCCTGGAGTGAAATCAAGTGCCACATTAAAAGCTTCACTTTTCATTGGTAGAGAATTTTAGTTTTATTTTCATCAGATTGAAGTTATATAGGCTAAACAAGCCATAGCAGAACTTTAGAAAGTCTAATGAAGTTGAAACTAGCTTTGCATCATAACCAGTCCTAAATTTCTGGTCATCCAATCCTCTCAGATGGGCTGAACTCCTTTACCCTTCCAATAATTATTGAGCTGACTTATGAACATAACAAAATTATTTAAAGGAGCCATTGGCTTAATCGAGCCCTCTTCATGGCCACTCCCTTGTATTTTTTTTTCCTCCTTGTAGTCGTCTGTCTCCTAAGCTTTCTCCTACTGCGAGGGCTCAGGACTAGGAAATAACCAGCAGAGCGTGTGAATGAAAAATTAGCAAGTTATTGAGAATTAGGAGCAGGATCAATTGGGCTAGTTAGGTTCAAGGCTACAATAGATTTTTAATGTAAAAATTAAAAGATCAGGAATGCAACCCACTCTTGTTACAGAGCTTCTCTGGGTGAAGTGATTTTCATTTACCCAGCTTTTGTTTCACACAACAATTTTTAGGAGCACTTGAGGTACTAAATGAGGGATAGCTGTAATTAATTTGAGTGAATAAATTATGAACATAAACGTTTGTCAAAAGTTAAAAGATGAACTGTCACAACCAAAAGTCTGAAGACAAAGGTGCATTGTTAAGGAAAAGAAATTATGCTTAATGCATGTTGAACCTTGATTAGATAACACTTGATGTACTATGTAAGATAATGCAAAACAGATTTCGAATATTTAACATCATTTTATACTTTTTCCTTGCTGAATTAGACTAGCTTACAATACCTGTTGCATCAAGAGTCATCATAATCAACCGTGTAATTTGAACTCAAAAATTATTGAACACTACAGGTATCACCATAAATCACTTATGAGGTCCAAAGTAAATCAGATTTCCTTAAAGATCTCCAGACATAAATTCTGCCCAACTATTTCTCGGATGATTTTACCTTCTTTGGAATTTTCTTCTGACTGGACTGAACAGCTTCCTCCCCGTCTCCTGAATGTGTATCAGACAAAATTGCTTTCTGAACATCAGGAGTGGATTGCTAAAAAGTTACAAAAGATAACGGACAATGGTCACTTACTACTTGATTAGAAAAAGCATCATCGAGCAAATTAGTATCTTTCGGTAAGTCAAGTATGATGTTTTTCGTGAGATTTATGCTGATGAACAAAGAAACACTGACCTGGGGCATAAGGATTTAAGAAACAGATTTCTGAGGAAGGGACCCTAAACATTAACTCTGATTTCTTTCCACAGGTGCTGCCAGACCTGCTGAACTTTTCCAACAATTTCTGTTTTTGTTTCCGATTTACACCATCTGCAGTTCTTTTGGTTTTTTTCAGAAATTTGTTTATTGTTTCATAGAATGTGGACACAGCTGGCAAAGCCTTTGTTGCCCATTCCTAACTGCCCTGAACCGAGTGACTTTTTCAATAGAATGTACTTTTGTTGGACATTTTGATTGTCCTTTAAAAATTTCCCTACTTTATTTACTGGCATATTTTTAATTTTTTTTTGGCCAATGAACTTGGCTGGCTCTCCTCATAGCTACACAATAGGCTTTAAGGTTAGTGCTCGAGATATCAATCCTATTACAATCTCAGAAGTTCTTTTGTTATGACAATACTAATTAAATCTGTTATTGCCAATGTAAGACTTAAAATAGCTTCATTCTGATTTGGTTGCACAACATACTACTCCAATATTGTCGCAAAATTCATTTTCATGCCAGTGTTGCCAATTTGATTGATCTAGTCTGTACGAAGAAGTTGCAGCCCAAGCACTGAACTGCAAGAAAAAAACTTGCAAACAAGTAGTGCCTTAAAAACAATGAAACATCCAAAGGCTGATCATCGATAAATTATCAACAAAAACTTTACACTGTGCCACAGAAAGAGATATTAAGTCAAATGTCTAAAAGGCTGATCAGACAGGCTGGTTTGGAGTGCCTTAAAGTAGAAACAGAGGCAGAATAGTTTAAGGATGGTATTCCAAGGTTTCGGGCCCAGGCAGCTCAAGTACAGCCACCAGTGAAGTGATTAAAGGAATGCATAAGAGGTTGGAATTAATGGATACAGATATTGGAAGGCTGTAAGATTGGAAGAGATTACAGAATTGGAGATGGACAAGACCTGGAGGGGCTTGAAAGTAAGGATAATAACTTCAAAATGAAGTTTTCTTGATCAAGTTAAAACATGGATCAACAAGCATAGAGGCGATGGGCAAGTAGGACACTAAGAGTTAGGACACAAGAGGCAGCAGAGCTTTGAATGACCTCAAGTTTACAAAGAATAGAACCAGGGAAGATGGTCAGAAACGAGCTGAAATGGTCAAATCTAGAGATAACAAAGCAGTGGATGAGGGTTTCAGCAATGGATTGAGTGAGGCAAGGGTGGAACAAGGTGATGTTATGGAAGTGGAAACAATCCAGCTTAATGACAGCGAATAGGAGTAGGAAACTCAGTTTGGAATCAAATCCAACACAAGTCGTGAACAGAGATTGTAGGGACTGCCGATGCTGGAGTCTGAGATAACAAGATGTAGAGCTGGATGAACACAGCAGGCCAGGCAGCATCAGTGGAGCAGGAAGGCTGACGTTTCGGGTCTGGACCCTTCTTCAGAAATGGGGGAGGGGAAGGGGGCTCTGAAATAAATAGGGAGAGAGGGGGAGGCGGATAGAAGCTGGATAAAGGAGAAGACAGGTGGAGAGGAGACAGACAGGTCAAGGAGGCGGGGATGAAGCCAGTAAAGGTGAGTGTAGGTAGGGAGTTGGGATGGGGGTTGGTCAGTTGGGAGGGAGGAGTGGGTAGGTGGGAGGGAAGATGGACAGGTCAAGGAGGCGGTGATGAGGCTAGTAGGTAGGAAATGGGGGTGGGGGTTGGCCAGTGAGGTGGGAGAAAAGATGGACAGGTCAAGGAAGCAGGGACGAGATGGGCTGGTCTTGGGATGAGGTTGGGGGTGAAGAGATTTTGAAGCTTGTAAAGTCCACATCAAGATCATTGGGCTACAGGATTCCCAAGCAGAACGTGAGGTGCTGCTCCTCCAGCCTTCGGGTGGCATCATTGTGCCATTGGAGGCAGCCCAGAATGGACATGTTGTCCAAAGAGTGGGAGGGGGAGTTGAAATGGTTCACGACTGGGAGCTGTTGTCATTTGTTGCGAAGAGCGTAGGTGTTCCACAAAGCGGTCTCCAAGCCTCCGCTTGGTTTCCCTGATGTAGGAGGCCACATTGGGAACAGCGGACACAATATACCACATTAGCGGATGTGCAGGTGAACATCTGTTAAATGGGGAAGGTTTTCTTGGGGTCTGGGATGGAGGTGATCATCCCATCATCCTCCGATTCAATGCATCATTCTCCGCCACTTCCGCCACCTGCAATCTGACCCCACTATCAAGGACATATTTCCCTCCCCACCCTTATCTGCCTCCCGGAGGGACCGCTCTCTCTGCGACTCCCTCATCCGCTCCACACTCCCCATTAGCCCCACCACTCCCGGCATCTTTCCCTACAACCGCAGGTGCTACACCTGCCCCTATACCTCACCCCTCACCTCCCATTCCAACTCCCTACCTACACTCACCTTTGCTGGCTTCATCCCCGACTCCTTGACCTGCCCGTCTTCTCTCCACTTATCTGCTCCTCTATCCACCTTCTATCATCACCTCCCCCTCTCTCTATTTATTTCAGAGCCCCCTTCTCCTCCCCCATTTCTAAAGAAGGGTCAGCTTTCCTGCTCCTCTGATGCTGCCTGGTCTGCTGTGTTCATCCAGCTCTACACCTTGTTATCACAAGTTGTGAACAGTCTGGCTTCATCTCAGACAGTTGCTAGGGAGAGGGACAGGATCTGTGGCAAAGGACTAGAGTCTGTAGTGGCCATAGCGGCTTCTGACTTATTAATATTGGAGGATGTTTCTGGTCATCCAGTACATGATGTTAGATATGAAATTATGATAGTTTTCAGAGAATGGAGGGATCAGGAGAGCTGATAGAATTTGATGTTGTCAACACGAGGAAAAATAAGTCGGTGGTTTTCCATGATACTGTCAATGGACAGCTTGTGGATAAGAAATATGAAGAGTCAAGGATGGATATGCGGGGGATACCAGAAGTAACAGTGCAGGAACTAAAAGGGAAGTTATTGCAATGATTGCAGAAATTGCTGACGTAACTCAGCAAGTCTGGCAGTGTTTGCGCATTCAAATCAGAGTCAATGTTTCGGATTTCAGAAATGATAGCATCTGGGTAAAGGTTGTATTTATCTCAATGACAAGAGTGAAACAGAGAGAAGACTGAGTTGACAGATGGAGATGGAGTCCAGAGACAGCACGAGAGCAGGAGCAAGCGAGGCAAGGAGCGAACGAGAGAAATAAAGGGATTGTTGATACTAAGTCACTGGATTCAAAACATTAACTTGGATTTGCACAGACATATTAAGTTTCTCCAGAAACATCTGCTTTTGTTTCAGATTTCCAGCATCCCGAGTCCTTGGTTTTACTTTTTTGTTTTATTTATATTATTGCAATAACTCTCTGGTTATGATCAGTTAGTTAAAACCCATTGGAACTATGGAACTGATAACCGCTGGACATGAGCAATTAAACATGGAAACTAATATGCCACTGCCAGTGGTTCCTTGCCTTCTTGACAGGTTAAATACTGTAGAACTCTTTGAAAATGGAAATCTCCTGAATTGTTTTTTTTAAAAAGCCACTCCTGGTTTATGGGTGTTGTTGGCTGGGCCAGCATTTATTGCCCATCCCTGGTTGCCCTTGAGAAGGTGGTGGTGAGCTGCCTTCTTGAACCACTGCAGTCCATGTCACACTACACTCTTACACAGGAACAAAAACAAAGTTGCTGGAAAAGCTCAGCAGGTCTGGCAGCATCTGTGGAGGAGAAAACAGAGTTAACGTTTCAGGTCCGGTGACCCTTCCTCAGAACTGAGTTCTTTTGGATTTTACTTTTACACAGGTCATTGTGCAAAAACCCTAAAAAACTTTGCATTTTCTTATGGTCATAAAAAAAGTCATAATCAACCTCTCACCTTTTAGAAAACCTCTTGGAGGGATGTGAGTGGAGAAAGATTTAAAAAGGAATACTGCGTTCAATTCTATTCTCCCTGCTATAGGAAAGGACATGGTGAAACTTGAAAGATTATCAAGGATGTTGCCAGGGTAGGAGCTATAGGAGAGGCTGAATAGGCTGGGGCTATTTTCCCTGGAGTGTCAGAGGCTGAGGGGTGACCTTATGGAGGTTTATAAAATCAAGGGCACGGATAGGGTAAATAAGTCTTTTTCCCAGGGTAGGAGAGTCTAAAAGTAGAGGACATGGGTTTAAGATGAAGGGAAAGTTTTAAAAAGGGACTTAAGGGGCAACATTTTCCATGCAGAGGGTAGTGCATGTATGGAATGAGCTGTCAGAAGAAGTGGTGGAGGCTGGTACAATTACAACATTCAAAAGGCATCTAGATGGGTATATGAATAAGAAGGGTTTAGAGGGATATGGGCCAAATGCTGGCAAATGGGTCTAGATTAATTTAGAATATCTGGTCAGCACGGACATATTGGGTCAAAGGGTCTGTTTCCATGCTGTACAGCTCTATGATTATGACAAGGGGGGCAACTTTTTTTTTTAAAACCTAGAGAGTGGCTTGTGTATGGAATAAATTTCCAGTGGAAGTGGTGGATGTAGGTACAGTTACAACATTTAAAAGACATTTGGATAAGTTTATGAATAGGAAAGGTTTGGAGGGGTATGGGCCAAGCACAGGCAGATAGGACTAGTTTAGTTTGGGAACATGGTCAGCATAGACTGGTTGGACTAAAGGGTCTATCCCATGCTTTTTGACTCTGACTCTAATTCTGGAATCATGGAATCAAAGAATCATACTGTAAGAGGTGGTTCTTCAGCCTATCAAGTCTGTACTGCTAAAAATACACTACTATCTGCACTAGTCCCGCACTAGATGCAGCCTTGAATGTTATGACACTTCAAGAGCTCATCCAAGTACATTTTAAACATTGTAAGGTTTCCCGCCTTAACAATCTTCCCAGGTAATACATTCCAGATTCCCAACACCCTTCGAGTGACAAAGATTTTCCTCAAATCCCCTTTCACTCTAAAATTATGCCTCCTTGTTATTAACCTTTTGACAAAGGAAACAGCTGCTCTCTATCACTTTGACCATGCCCAACATAATCTTAGACACCTCTATCAGGTCTCCCTTCAAATTCATCTGCTCCAAAAGATGACAGTTGAAGCTTATCCAGCCTCTCTTCATCGCTGAAATGCTCCATCCCAGGCAACATCCTGGTGAATCTCATCTGCACCCTCTCGAGTGAAATCACATCCTTCTTATGGTGTGGTGACCAGAACCGCATACAGTACTCCAGCTGTGGCCTAACCAAAGTTCTGTACAGTTCCAACATGATCGCCCTGCTCTTATAATCTATGCCACAACTGGTAAAGGCTTTTTTTTTGAAGTTTAGGGTATTTTAGCTTATACCTTAAGTCCATGTACATGCCTCAATCTTTATTAAGCTTTCTGAAAATAGACTGAGACATGAAAAACCAGTAGTTTTTACTTCCTGGTTTGCTGTCCATGAGAACCTTGCTTAATGCTGAAGACACCAGGAGCTGCTGCTGGAATCAAAGTAACATTAGGAATAAAGATTTATATGCCACACAGATCTCTAGATCTTGGCAGCTTTCTTCAAGATCAGCAGCAGATGCCATCACACCGCTGCTGGCTGTGAAACCTGCCCTGTTGCTTTTCTTCTTTAATCCCACTAAGAGTTATCTAACACTGTTTCGGAGCAGGAGTCCATTCAGAGCTCCTACCAGGCTACCTGAATAATGCATGAACCACCCCTGCAGAGCTGTATCAGTGAGACAGCCACAGTGACTAGCCTATGTTCCCACAGCACCGCCCAGCCACCACAAACTGCATGCAGCTTTGGCTCATTAACTAGCATCTTTGAATGAAAGACCCCACAGCCATTCCACCAAAAGTCCTGAACAGAAAACGAAGGGATTTTCATCAGATCAGTCTGGACTAGTTTAGGAAAGAGCATTTTAGTTCTGTAATGTGGAAATTTTGAACAAAGCTTATCAAACTGAAACGAATGACAAAAATAAGTTAATTATTTACATTTGTTGAATCCAGATTGGCTGACCGAGGCTGGCCTTGTTGCCCATTACTGGTGCTACGTCCAGTTGTGGAAAGCATTGGTTCAGCAGTGTCTGTTGAGGTACCAGCTACATCCTTCTCATCCTCAGCTGACACGTTGGACAGCAAAGTAAGCACAGCAGAATTCTTCAGACCTGGACCAAAATAAATTTTGCAAGCATTGTAATTACTCTTTTTTTAAAAAACAAAAGGTAAACAAATAAAGACTGCATGTGCAGCAAGCACATAGATCAGTCAGCATTTGTGGATTGGACAACTTGACATATGGATACTCTTCACAGGACTAGGTCATTCAGTTCTTTAACATTGCAAAGTAAACCTTCCTTTAAAACTGAAGTCCTGAACCACTGTAAAAGCTGTAACTTAAAGGTTCACTTACCTACACATGCTGATGTTTTTTAGCATGCTATAATTTCCCAATCATTACTGGATAGAATTACACACAATTTATAGCACTGAAACAGGTCATCTGACCCAGCAGGTCTTTGCTAGTGTTAACACAGCATCCAAGCCGCCTCCTACCTATTTGTTCTAACTCTAGCATTCAGCCTTCTATTCCTTTCTCTCTCATGCTTTTATTCAAATTTGCTTAAATTCACCCACAACTTTTGCCTCAACTTCTACATTTGGTGTCAAGTTCCACATTCTAACCATTCTCTACTGATATTGTTATTGGATTTATTGGCGATAGAGATATTTATTAGTGTTAGATATAGGTCCTAGAGCTAAACTGAGCAGAAACGAGGTATTCAGTTGGATGATCAGCCATGATCATATTGAACAACAGAAGGGCCAAATGACCTACTGCTGCTCCTATTTTTTATGTTTCTGTGAGTGACAATTTTCTAAGTTTATGGTTTCTACCTTCTTCTTGGAAGACCACATACCTTTCCTAGCTCCTCAATCTCAGTGAGCAATGGAACACCACTCCTGGTAGCTTCCATCAAAAAGACACCACCTGAACAATACAGCGCTCCCTTAGAGCTGCATTATAATGTCAACCTAGACCACATGCTGAAGTACATTGGTGGGTATAAACACAACTGACATTTTGCCTGAGATGACTGTCAGCACATACCGAAATGCAGAATAACTCAACACCAGGGAAGGGGTTATACTGGACCTGGTTTTGGGAAATGAGCCCAGCCAGGTGAGAGAAGTTTCAGTGGGGGAGCATTTTGGGAGTAGTGACCATAATACCAAGAGTTTTAAGACACTCGTGGATAGGGATAACAGCAGTCCTGAAGTAAAAGTGTTAAATTGGGCGAAGGCAAATTACAAAAATATTAGTCAGGAACTGGAGAATATTGATTGCAGCTGGCTGTTTTATGGTAAGTCCACATCAGACATGTGGGAGCATTTCAAACGGCAGTTGATAAGAGTTCAGGAGCGGCACGTTCCTATGAGAATGAAGGATAGGCATGGCAAGTTACGTGAACCTTGGATGACCAAGGATGTTATGACCTTGGTCAGAAAGAAAAGGGTAGGTCTAGGAGGATGGGAATTGATGAAGCCCTCGAGTGGGAAAGTAGGAAAGAACTCAAGTAAGAAATTAGAAGGGCTAAAAAGGGGGCATGAAAAGTCATCAGCAAACAGGATTAAGCAGAATCCCAAGGCTTTTTATACGTACATAAAAAGCAAGAGGGTAGCCAGGGAAAGGGTTGGCCCAATGAAGAACAAAGGAGGGAATCTATATGTGGAGCCAGAGAGGTAGATGAGGTCCTAAACGAATACTTTATCTTGGTATTCACCAAAGAAAAGGAATTGATGGAGGATGATATCAGGGAAGGGAGTGTCAAATCTCTAAGCCAAGTTGCTATTAAAAATAAACAGGTGTTGTGCATCTTAAAAAGTATTAAGGTAGACAATCCTCAGGTCCTGTTGGGATCTATCCCAGAATATAGAGGGAAGCAAGCAAACAAATTGCTGGAGCATTGACAGACATCTTTGTATCCTCTCTGGCCACAGGTGAAATTCCAGAGGACTGGAGGATAGCCAAACGTTGTCCCGTTGTTTAAGAAAGGTAGCAGGGATAATCCAGGAAATTACAGTCCTGTGAGCCGCACGTCGGAAGTAGGGAAATTATTGGAAAAGATTCTCAGGGACAATATTTACATGCATTTAGAAGCAAATGGCCTTATTAGTGATAGATAGCATGGTTTTACGCAGGGCAGGTTGTGCCTCACTAACCTGATCAAGTTTTTTGAGGAGGTGACAAAGATGATTGATGAGGGAAAGCAGTTGACGTCATCTATATGGGCTTCAGTAAAGCCTTTGACAAGGTCTCTCAAGGCAGACTGGTACAAAAGGTGAAGTCATATGATATCATGGGTGAGCTGGCAAGAGGAATACAGAACTGACTTAGTCATAGGAGATAAAAAGGTAGCGGTGAAGGATGCTTTTCAGAATGGAGGGTTGTGGCTAGTAGTGTTCCACAGAGATCAGTGCTGGAACCTTTGCTGTTTGTGGTCTACATAGATAGTTTGGAGGAAAACGTAGCCGGTTTAATTAGTAAGTTTGCAGATGATACAAAGATTGGAGGTGTTGCGGATAGCGAGGAAGATTGTCAGAGGATACAGCATTGGAGACATGGGTGGAAAATGGCAGATGGAGTTTAATCCGGATAAATGGGAGGTGATGCACTTTGGAAAGTCAAGTACAGGTGGAAACTATAGTGAATGGCAGAGGGCTCTGGGCGTGTAGGTCCACAGATCACTGAAGGTGGCAGTACAATTAGATAAGGTTGTAAAATGGGCCTATGACACGTTTGCCATCATTGGAAGAGGCATTGAGTATAGGGATATACAAGTTATGCTGCAGCTTTATAGAACTTTAGTTAGGCACACTTGGAATAATGTGTACAGTTCTGGTCTCACAGTACCAGAAGGATGTGCATGCTTTGGAGGGTACAGATAAGGTTGGCCATGATGGTGCCTGGCATGGGGGATTTTAGCTATGAAGAAAGATTGGATGGACTGGGTTTGTTTTCACTGGAACGCAGGAGGTTGAGGGGCGACCTGATTGAAGTTTATAAGATTGTGAATGGCATGGATAGAGTGGAAAGCATGAGGCTTTTCCCAGGTGGAGGGGTCAATTCTTAGGGGACACAGGTTCAAGAGGGGGAGGGTTTAGAAACAGATGTGCAAGGCAAGTTTTTCCACACAAAGGGTGGCGAGTGCCTGGAACACGCTGCCAGAGGTGGTGGAAGCAGACATTATAGCAGCATTCAAGAAACACCTGGACAAACACATGAATAAGGAGGGAACAATGGGATACAGATCCTGTCAGTGAAGACAGTTTTAGTATGGAAGGGCAAAAGGTGTTGGTGCTGTATTGTTCTTTGTTCTTTTGTAAACCATTCCCTTTCAAGCCCAAAGGAAGGCTACTGCTCATGAAGTCAAACCCCAACAGGAAAAGCAGTGCCAGGAAAAAGTGCACATTTCCTATCCAGTGTTAGTAGAAATGGTTCCCAAGAGTCCATGCAGCACAGTGGTGATATCCCGAAATTTGGGTTAGAAGATCAAGCTCAAGTCCCATCTGCCATGGGGGTATGTCATAATATGACCAAGCAGGGTTGACTAAAAGATATTTTAAAGAGTTTCCAACTCAACATTTTGCTCTTCTTCAAGTTTACCCCTACATCACGGAAACAGCATCTCCCTCACCATGCAAAATGTGAGCCTTCATTTTACCAAACAAACAAAATCCATACTGATGACTTAGTGCTCAATTAGAAGATCATTTGCAGGAAAGGCTCTGGGTTAAAGCAGTCAAATTACTGATGTCTTTTCTTTGGTGAACTGTTCAAAATCATTTCTTGGAGGACCCTGGAGAAAGGGGGAGAAGACACTTTGCTCCCTTTAATCTGAATTGGGTTCAAATGCACAGCAGAGGCGGAAGGCCAATTATATTAGAAGGATAAATTTAAAGGCTAAAACAAGTAAGTTAAAATCTATGATTTGAATATCTAGGTACATTAATTGAATTAAGGAATGAGAGTCATGCACATGACTAACTTTTCCCTTGATGTGCTTTGAGCAGATATTCAGTGATGAGCTCTGTGCAGCGAGCCTCCAGGGCCTCAGCGTGTTTGCGCACATCCGAGTCCAGCTCCTCTTCGGCAGGGTTTAGTTCTGTTACAACATCAGCTGTGTAGAGAGCCAGCGCGCTGAACAGCAGCCAGGTATAGTTGTGGATGTACGGCTGTATGAGCCGGTGGCGGTCACTGATCCGAATCGTCACCATGGGGAACACTGTAATGCTGTGCGTTGGCAAGTGACTGCAAGAAATAAAATAGAAAAAGCTTGGTACCTGTTCCAGTACAATCAAATTCATCACACAACTTATCACAGTTCTATAAGTGCAGTGAAGGAACTCAGTGCAATTGATGGCTGAATTTCAATAAAAGTTGCTTTTGTTGCAACTACAGTACTCTTCTCCACCAGCTTAGCTAACTTTATGAAAACAACAGCAAAGCAAGAGAAACAGTATAGAGACACACAACACATTTACTGGGGATGAAACAGAGCGAAGCCAATATAATCCACCTTCAAGCAGTTTAATCTGCTGGGTTCAAGATACACGCTGACCAATATATGCTAGTGTGCATCACAGCAGGGTGATAACCTTATGGTGAAACGTATGCTCAAAACAGTTGGAAACATTTTCCAGAAAGTCAATTAGTCAAATAATTGAAGAATAAGATCTCCAAGTCAAATGTGCTGGAAGCAATGTTCAAGGGCACGATTTTGGCAGTTACTCAGGCGGCCATATGGTGAGATATTTTTGTTCATATCTTACCCCTGGGCACCACACCAGAGGCAGAGGGAACCAAATAAATCAGCAAGTTTACTGGAAACTCAGTGGAGTGCTTTTAAAGTGGGCACGTCTGTTTACAACAGAATACACAGATGGTAGCAACTGTGTGGAGTGTTGTGGGAAGGACAATGACAAATCTAGAGTCCCTTAAAAAATCTGCTTTAAATAAAATGAGACAACCACATACTCACTAAGGCTACCTACCTCCTTCTCCTTATTGCCATCCATATTGCCACCCCACATCAGCTTTCAATTGCTGAACCTCTCATCCCTCCCATTCCATCATACTGCTGACAGGCCTCTCTGGCTCCAATCTCCACAAATGTCACCATTTTGCTGGCTGTATCCAGACTCTCACCAAGTATCACCCACCCATATCCTCTGAGCTCGCTCACCTACATTGGTACCCAGCTAAGGAAGCAAAGCAAATGGGAAAACTCCCATCCTTGGTTCCAAGCCCCTCCATGGTTTTAACCTCCCATCTCAATCATCTCCTCCAGCTTTACTCAGCCCAACTCCAATTCTTCCCAAAACGAGATCTCTGCATTCAGTCAATTCTGACCATTTCAGCACTCCTGAAGCCAGTGTTGGCTTTTCGTTGCCTGGACCCTGGCCTCTGGAGTCCCTCCCAATTCTCTATACATCTTTTTCCTTCATTATAGCCCTCTTTACAACTTAATTCTTCAATCAGGCTTTTGCTCAAAGAGTATCATAATCCCATTTGGGACTCTGTCAAATTTTATTTGGTAACTTTTCACTGAAGCATCCTGAGGTGTTTATTACAATAAATCATTAATGCAAGCTGTCGCTGATGGTCTAGCTTTTTATTCCCAGCATGGGCCTCAGTTCTAATACTAGAGGAAGGAATGGGAAATGGCAGTTCCATTACTGTCCTCGATTACCTGTCAGGATATTTCTTCGCAGAATAGCATCCATAGCAGAGATCAAAGTCATCACATACATTACAGTTGATCCTGCGGCCTATGATCAATCCCTGGCAGTGATCACATGCGTACTCCATGTTCACCATTTTGTGATAATCTTCATGATGTTCAGGCATTACTCCACCTGAAGAATAGAATCATCACAAAAACAAAACAGAGACAATTGATCATTAGCCTTCAGAAAAGTTACAACACTCTAGAATGCCGTGATTTAATATTGAGCAAACTACTGGAAAAACCTACATTCGACATGTTACACAGGAATTGTTAACGTTACCCTGAAGTAAACACTAGCACATCAAATACAGCATTTTAAGAAAGCTAAATGTTGCAATAAGTTAGTCATGCAGGGGAATGGTACATTTCAGTTTCTGATATTCGAAAATACTAGATAAAGCACCATGAGGTGCACAGCAAGGTGGCTTCAATTGGTTCCAAGCTGCAGACCCTGACTATGCACCTATGCAGACGGAATCATTTTCAGACTGCCACCAGAGTGTGTTCTGGACAATTCCCATAAATCAGCTGGCATATCATAGGGAAGGTCATATTACCTAGCAAACAGATATCCTTGTTTCTGTTTCTGGAAACTGACCACTGGAAATGTCGCAAGGTCCCTCCTATCCTTTAGATAACAGGAAGAACACAATCATCTTGAGCTATTACCTACGATGGCATTTCCCAAATTGCACAGATCAAGAGAAGGCCATCCTCATGGTACAGCTCCCACTTACCCTAGTGCTGGTGCCAGTGCCCCATGAACCAACCTCCATTTCTCTCACACCAGTCGTTGAGTCACACATTCAACTCTCTAATCTATCTATCTTATGACAATGGTTCTGCTTTTCTAATTCAGCCCATAGCTGCTCACAATCCGCAAGAAGACCTCAAAGTCCTAGTCCTATCTCTGTTGGTGATACCCAAGTATACCATATTAACTGGTGCCTCCTCCTGCAACTGCACATTTCTCTTCAGTCACTGAGGCATTAAGGAACCTGATGTCCTATCACATGAATCATGTAAGGTTAGTACAAGGATATAGGAAATTATCATGAAGCCAAGTGGAATGTTGTCATATATTGCAAGAGGAACGGAATAAAGAAATAAGGCAGCTTTACTCCAGCTGTACAAGGCTTTGCTGAGACCACATCTGAACTGCTGTGTACATTTTTGATCTCTTTACTTGAAAGAGACATCATTGCTTTAGAAATAGTTCAAGAGGTTCATTTGAGACTTATTCATAGGATGAAGGGCCTATCTTAAGAAAGGTTGGGCCTTTGTCCATTGGAGTACGTGAGAGAGGTCACCTGCTTCTAAGTCCTATGTTCTGAAGAGGTTGAATTTACCCTCAATAAGTTTCCTTCTAGATCAATGCACTGGGAACAAGGCTGAAGAGGACACTTTAATCTGTGTCTGAGCAAGAAGCTGTCAAATCAACTACTCCTATAGAACTATTCCCCCACACTGTGAGAAATTCTGCAGCTCCACACGAAGTCCCGTTACATACAATGTCTGATTCTTCTTTAGAGCTGGAAGGTATTGGAAAGTAGGACCATTTTTATACTTTAGTCAGAGGCAGAGAAGGACCAAGAGAGCAGTTGGTATAGAGACCCAGTGCAAAAGATAAAGAGGTTGTTAATGGTGGAGACAGAAAAAGTGAGATGCAAAAACGGTGCCAATTTCGGTATGCAATGGAGAGAATTGGTCCGTTCTACCAAGTGCAAAGTAAACAAAACAAACACGACAAGCAGGACGGTAGGGTAGTAAGAAAAATGGAGAACAGTTGTTCAGTTTGCACAGGTCAACATCTTTAGTTGAACATTACCTTCGTCAGAAGTACAGCATTCAGTTCTGGGCACTACTTTTAAGGAAGGACACATACCTTAGCCACAGAGGGCTCTCAATATAGAAACACCAGAATGATACCAGGTATTGGCTGGCTAAATTAGGGCCAAAGGTTGTATAAACCTGGAATCTATTCAGGAACATTGGGAAGAACAGAGAAAGGGAAAAGACAGAACTGACAAAATATAATGTTTCAGACTGAAACAGCATGATGTAGTGAGGGTTGTAAGACAGAACAGACAAACTATTATGCTGCAGAACAGACATCAGAAGCCAGCAAATAATGGAATGAGACAGAGGGAGAAGTTTTCAGAACCACAAAATGTTTCACAACTTTAAAATGGTATAAATAGGGACTTCAGTTATTTGAATATAGAGAAGGAATATAACACTAAAAAGGGAAAGGATGGGAAAGAATTTCATGAAATCTGTGCAAAAAAACTTTCTTCATTTGTATGTAACCAGTCTAATGAAGAAAGAAACAGTCCTGAAAATGAGGGCAAGAGGACTTTCAAAAAGGTTTCATAAGGCACTACAGTCTAGTTAGAAAAGTTGACACCCACTGGATTAAACAGACAGCAGCTGTTTGCATACAAAGTTGACTAAAGGACAGAAAGCAGACAGTATTTGTGAATTGGTCTTTTCCAGACTCAAGGACCATCATGTTTCCTTTCATATACATTAATGGCTTTGGCGAGGGTATACAGGTGCAGTTTCAGTGTCTGCAGTTGGTGTGGATCTCAAAAATGGAGCAAAGAGTGTAAAAGACTCCAGGACACACAGTTATGAAATGGGCAGAAACATTACAGATTAATGTGTGACATGATTCATTTCTCTAAGAATGACGACAAGAGGCAATATGAATTCAATGGTACGATTTGAAAGGTGCAAGAATACAGAGATCTGTGTGTGGAATGATAAATCTTTCAAGGTGTCAGGACAAGCTGGGATGGCTGCTAATCAGCATTGGAAGACTTGGATTTCATAAGAGGCATAGAACACGCAAGCAAAGAAGTTTTCTGAACCTTTAGAAATGACTGGTTGAAGTACAGGTAATTCTCCTATAACACGATAGTTGCGTTCTTGCGCGACCTCGTGCTATAGAAAACCGCATTATAGGGAAATCGCTATAGAAAATCATTATACTGTACAGTAGAAAGTTCGCGTTTTCCAAACAGCGTCCACTATTCATCAATCATATTATGGTCAATTCGTATTAACAAAACACGCATCAGAGCAGAAATACTTGCACCGTGGTTAACTTTAAGCGCCACACTCCAGCAAGGTTAGAATGGAACTAGAGGTGAAAGACATCAGTTTTGTGGAGATACTAAAGAAACTGGGGCTATGCTCCTCAGAACAGAGCAGGTTAAAGGGAGCTCTGATAGAAGTGCTCAAAACTGTGAAGGATTTAGATAGGCTAAATAAGGAGAAACGGTTTTTTGTGGCAGAAGGATACAGATCTGTAAGAGAACTGGCACGATACCAGAGACAATGCCTTATGCAGCAAGTTGTTATAATCTGGTATGTTCCACTTGAAAGGATGGTGGGAGCACATGCAATAATAAGTTCCAAAAGACAAATGAACAAATTCTGAAAAGGAAATATTTCTGGGCTCTAGGGAAAAGAGAAAGGGATCATCAGACAACTCTTTCAAAGACACAGCACAGAGATAATGGATCTTAGTGTTGTATCACTCCATGACTGCTTCTCTTGCTTTTTAAACATTGAAAGGTTAATCAGAGTGTTCAATGTGGTTCAAGAATTTGATCAGGTAAATACTGAGAAACTGATTCCTGCACGGATATAATTTAGAACAAGGAGAGGAAGCGTAAATCTAAGGTCAGCTGTTCACGAGGAGGTCAGGAAGCACCTTTTCACATCAAGATTAGTTAACATTTCAAACAATCTCCCCTCAAAAAAAACTGTGCAACTAAATTAGTCTTGAAAGCTCTATTTGATTCAGACTGGTAGCGCTTTGCTGGGTACGGATATGAAGGTAAATGGATTAAAGGTAGGAAATGGAGCGGAGGTACAGATCAGTCATATCTGATTGGAGAGAGAACAGGCTCGTGAGCTCTACTCTGTTCTTATAGTCCTTTCTTCGTAGTTTGGTCTCCAAGGATTTGAGGGGCCACTCACTGTGGCACCTCTCTGAACCAGATCCACGGCGTGGCCATTTCCTTCTTGGATTAGCAACCAGAACTGTTTGGCATATGCAAATTGCAGCCTGACACAAGTTCTGCAGCCAGAGTGGTCTTCTCTTCTACTGACTCTGCTGTCACCCAAGGTAACAGCTCAGTTTCCGCACCAAGACTATTTCTTCTACAGTACTTTAAAATAAGAGACTGAGTTCTCTTTAAAATTACACTTCCCACTACTGTTAAATCTCAGTGCTTATGACAAATAAAGCAAACCATAACATGTTTAAGCTCTGCTGACAGCCCACAGAAATCAAGACATTTTCACTTTACATCAGGACCAAGTTCTTACCGAGAAAGCATGTTTTGCAGAGATCCATGTCTGGACACTGAAGACACCGATAGCGATGCCAGGGGGCTATTTTATGACACCCATCACAAGATATCTCCACATTCAATAAGTCACAATAACGTGCAACAAACATGTGCATCTGTCACAAAACACAAACAAATTGATCATTAGGAATTCCAGGCTTTAAAACATAATGGGTTGATTCTTCAGAAACAGTGGAAGCTGCAACAAAGAAAATAGCAGCAGAACGAAAATATAGACAAATAAAAACTGTGTACAGGACAACCCTGCACAGTAAAAACAGTTGTCAAAACAAATGAAATGTATCCAAGTCTTTTTTTTTGTTCCACCTTGAGTATTGTTTCTAGCCCTAACTCCTGGATCACAACCTAATCTTTTAACTTTGGCCTTTCAGTTCTCCTTCTCCAACCCACCAACTCTCTGGGGGTTTAAAAAAAAACGCCACTTTTACTCTATTCAAACAGAAAACACATTAGGCAGTATATTCTATTCCTACATTTAATAAATATTCAAAAAAATAAATACAACATTAAAGAATTTTCACAAACCAGAGATTTTGTTTCTCTCAGTTAAATAGAAAGTGATGTGTACCAATGACAAACAGCAGGTAAAGTGAGGGATAAATTGATCTTACTCACCCTTCTTTTCTCCTCAGCAGTTGCATTAGACATTCTCTCATACCACACACGAAGCTGTATTCCATCCTGACATTCCTCCATCCACTCTTTGTTACACTCATAATCTGCAATCTCATCCTCTTCACTCCATTGGCTAAACAAATACAAGATTCAAATCACTTACAGTCCACAAAGGTTTAATGAATAGTTTGAAATGTAGCACTTCCTGTCTGGAGACTGATGTAACAGCTTCCTCAGACGCATGGTCTGCCTCCTGAGCTTCACCATACACAAACTCCAACAGATCCTAAACCCACCATATGCTGAGTCTCATGTTTCACCCAATTTTTAAACCACAATGTTTTGCACCTTTTACCCTACCCTGATGCAAATCTCTCATCCTATTCTATACTAAATGTCACCTCCCGATCACCTTATCCTTTTACCAAATCCGACTTTGTTACCATCACAGACACCAAAACCATTCCCTATCACTCCTACTTGTACCAAAACCCCTTCAACATTCTTCCTACATTTTAACAATTCCCACTAACTCAGTAGTTTATCCTCACCAACCCTTTACTGAGGTACACACAGGAACACTGCATTCAAAATTCTCTTTGCCCATTGAAGCTTCAGGCGCCGTTCTTGTTCTACCTCAAGTATTGTTTGCAGCCCTAACTCCTGGATTATAACCTAATTTTTTAACTTTGGCCTTCAGTTCTCATCTCCAACCCACAAACTCTGTTAGAAATTTCAATCATTATATTCTGGAATCCCCTCCCTACTGACTACATTTCCTCCCGTTTCCAAAGACCTCTTTAGGCCCTTTTACACGACATCCTTCATCCCCCGTTCCGGTTTGACAATGGTTTATGACAGTGCCTCACACATTTCTTTATATTAAAGGTCACGTACATAAGATGAATATATTAGCAATTGCTGTCAGGCTTTTGTCTTGTCCTGCTGGTTAGCAGGAGAACCAAAGGTATAACACAGAAACCAATGATGGCGAAGTCTGTGTCATTCACAAAACAAAACAAACAGAACATCGTTTTGGGATTAACAGGGAAATGTACATATCTGTTTCGCCTGGCAAAACTGTTCAAAAACCATAACCACATGCACAATTTTATCATTTGAAGTTGCTTAAATATCAGTTTTATGTAAAGTCCTTCTCCCTCACCATTAAGTAGATATCCAGGGAGTCAACAGAGGGTCTTTCTCATGTTTAAATTCAAATATACACAAGGAGAGCCTTTAAAAAGCACCAGTCATACACCAGGCTGCTGTACGTGATACCTCTATCTTTTTAATTACTCATATTTCAGCGAATTCAGACTACACCAGGGTTGTACTCACTGTATAGCACTGTCATGGATACTGATATTTTCTTGTGACATTGCCAGTAAGAGATCAGGCAGCTTGATTTCATCGAAGAAGGGCATGTCCAAGGCCTCCCAGCCCATATCAAGCAGGTGAAGTAGACAAGTCTGCACACAGGATAATGCTGGGAGAAGAGACCTAAAGCAATGGAAAAAGTACAAAAACAAAGAAGAGAGAGCATTCACTTTGAACTTATTCAGGAAGCCATGCAGCAATCTTACGTTACCAACAATGAGAATCATTACCAAATTGATGGGGAGCAGCATGTCACAGGTGAGGGAGGGACAGGGCTACACAGTTTATCTGCACTGAGTGTAATCACAAACAAACTAAACTAAACTAGAAATGGAGAGGCAAAGAAAGGGGGGCACTACTAGCTTAACCTCGAGTAGAGATTTCCTTAGAAATTTCTTTTCCCCCAAGATTTATAAGTTGGACTTTACAGGGAAGTTTTAAGGCTTTCTGCTTCCTCCGATTGTTTTGCAATCCTCCCATCCATGTCTCAGCCTAATTCTGAGCATTAATCCCACAGCCAGAGTATCTGAAAATGTTATAAATAATGGCACTAGTGAATGACGAGCCAGAGAACAGGCCAGTGTTGATGACAGTCCAAAGCTTGAACATTGTATATTGATCAATCCCACTATCCCTAAGATTTGGAAACCTTCTTAGATAGCCTTATCCTGTAGATCATTGCAAAAATGAGTCATCACTGGAAAAAGAAGTCATCAGTCTGAGATAAAATAATTGAACTGTTCCTTCTGTCAAGACGACAAAATAAATTTGTCCACAATTGTAGACTTATTCTTAAAGGCATGGGAAAAGAAATGTGCCTTTAACACCATATCATGCAATGAGTCTTCAAATGTCTATCTTCCCTTACATCCTCAGCATTATATACTCCCATGTCCACTATATCGGAATACAGAACAAACATCTCTCTGTCTTGATGGAACCCTGCATTACACTTGCTTGCATCATTTGACTAAGAAAGCATCTTTTACTGCGCCTCAGTATCAGGAATCACTGAGTTCTCTTAATTTCAGAACTTCACCTTTAACTTTGCAGCTGAAAGAAGGTCTGTGGGATAAGGATTAGTGGCTGATCTCTCAGCCACACAGATGCCAACTGTGCAATTCTGACACTTTAAATAAGTAAGCCTCCATTGCAATGTTATGAGATTCGAGCTGCACTATGGTGATTTGTAAATCCAAGACCATATTAAGATAATGTTGACATCACATAAAACGGCTATATTTTTAATTAATCTGGTCCTGGTTGGGCTGCAGTGGAGTCATATTCACTGGAAAATCAACTTCAAGATCTGGAATTAAGAGTCTAATGATCACCATGAATCCATTGCTAATTGTCAGAAAAACCCATCTGGTTCACTAATGTCCTTTAGGGAAGGAAACTGCCATCCTTACCTGGTCTGGCCTAATGTGACTCCAGACCCACAGCAATGTGGTTGACTCGTAACGGCCCTCTGGGCAATAAATGCTGGCCTGGCCAGTGATGCTCTCATCTTGTTAATGAATAAAGAAAAATAACTCCTGATCCTTTCCTCCCTATAACATTCTGACTGTTGTAATTGTGACGATATGTGCCTTTAAGAGGGATTTGTTCTGTTCTGGTTCTCTTGAAGAGGTGTGTTGTAAACCTGGTGCCAAGGTGTCTGCTCCATGGAAGGCAGAGTAAATAGCTTTGGGTTTTTTTTGTAAGTTAGACAAAAGAATTAGTGAATGGAGTCGAGGCTCAACACAAACCTTTGGTTTTAGTTTTTGCTTTCAATAGCTGCAGTTGCGGTTTTGGAGTTGAAATTGCTAGATACAGCTCTTTCTCTGCTGCTTGATTCATTCTGTCAGTGTTCCTTCTCCTGGACTTAAGGGGATAGCAAGTGAATGAATCGGAGTTTCTGAATTTGCCTTTACCAAATGTGTGTTTGTGAGATGCTGCTATATTGGAACAGTCAATGAGTAGTAGTTAAATAACATTATTTTGTTAAGTATTTTGACAGAGTTAAAGTTATGCCAATTGTAGGGGTGTCCTGTACCTGGCTATGTAAGGCGACTTCACCTGAACACACTAGACAGCCCATGCCTGCTTACAAGATGACAGACAGAAGCTAAACAAAACTAAGCAGCCTGCTCACACAGTGAAATACAATGGTACCTTTGAACAGAACTGCTAGAACAGTCAGTAAAAGAATGCTGGTATGTTCCCATCCGAGACAGTTCTGATAAAAGGATGCCTTAGGACAGATAAATGACTAATTCCAGCTTTATTAATGAAAGGATGATAGTCCCAGTAAACGAATAGCATCGGGTGCTAGATTAGATCCTTAAGCAGCTGCAAGGATAACAGCTAAAGTTATTTTGTAGTAAATAGTTGCCTCTTTGAAGCTACCTGCAATATTGATTAGTTTCTAGCTAAAAATGCTCTAAACATAAAAGCTGAACCAGGATATAATACAAGCCTTAAAAAACATTTAAGCTTAGATGTGAAGGTTAACTCGCCTTAGGAGTGTGAATAAGATAGATTGATCACAACCCATAAATTACAAAATGCGAATGGTAGTAGTTGTTATATAATGTTGTACTTTATAATTAACTTTATAACAGAAGTTAACCTTATAGCAATTAGTTAAAACTAACTGACTTTTTATATTTATATTTACATTTATGTAATTGGGACAGTGGGAAAACAAAAGGAGTAACAAAAGGACTGTGATAAAAGACAGCACCAAAATACAATGGGTAATAGAATTCGAGCTATCCTTACAGATAAACAAGCCTGAGAAAGACCCTAAGTAATATAGCCATTAAACTTTTGGAATGTGAATAAATAGGATGCATAGAAAGATCCTAAAATTACAATGTCTAGCTAATACCATAACATCATGGGAACCTGGGGCTGTCCATGGAAGTGCCCATCATTGATTAGGAGCCCCACAGAATTGGGTGTTTGGATTAGGGGGAAGGACAGTGAATACATTGAATTTGATTATTGTAACACAAAATGTATAAAAATGCTGTACTTCTTTGTAAAAGCAGAGGGTGTGTCATTGATCTATCTTCCAAAGCCAGATTCGGGGGAGATCCGAGACAACAAGGTGCAGGACTGGACGAACACAGCAGGCCAAGCAGCATCACAGGAGCAGAGAGGCTGACGTTTCGGGCCTAGACCCTTCATCAGAAAAGGGGGAGGGGAAGGGGGTTCTGAAATAAATAGGGAGAGAGTGGGAGGCGGATAGAAGAGGGATAGAGGAGAGGATAGGTGGAGAGGAAACAAACAGGTCGAAGAGGCGGGGATGGAGCCAGTAAAGGTGAGTGTAGGTAGGGAGTTAGGAAGGGGATAGGTCAGTCCAGGGAGGACGGACAGGTCAAGGGGGCGGGATGAG